TGTGTGTCTGTGTGTGCGCACGCGCTTGCTGTGGTGTGTGTGTGCGTGTGTGGTTTCTCGTAAAGTGTTCCCTAAGTGATTTTTGGAGGAACAGTTGCATCCCGAGGCCCAACCTAAAAGCTTGTTCCTCCTTTTCTCTGAGTGGCTGACTTTCCATGGACAGAGAGGCTTTGGGAGAGAAACAGCTGGAAGTGTCCCAGCCCCTCCTTCCCTCAAGGAAGCCTCTTGTTATTAACTGGGAATTCTTTACAGCTCGGCTGGAGGCAGTTTTCGGCTGTAAACTGTCATGCACTGTAGCCTTCGTTGAAAAGGCTGGGACAGTGGAGAATCTCGTCCTGAGCACTGAAGGACAAAGACCCCCAGAACCAGACCCAGAGAGGGTGGAAAAATCATTACAGAGCGAAAGGCATGAGACATCACACAAGTTAGGCCCAAATTCAGTCCCTCCAACCTCTGACTCCCCCTGACCCCCAGCTCCTGCAGGATGCATTTCTGGAATCTCATTCTTTAATACTTCGGGCGTCCCTTCTGGACTGGAAATTTCCTTATACGTATTTGAAATTTACCATTCTTTTCTGCTAAGTTTTGTTCTTTTTTGACGAAATCGAACCACAGTTTTTTCAAACAATCTGTTCAACTTTGCAAGACTTGGCTAACTCTTCTGGCCTAAAGGAAAGCTTGCTCACCAGAGCAAACAGCTTCCAAGGAAAGGCCCCCCCCCCCATGGTAAAGGAACGCTAGCCACGGAGCTCTGGGTGTCCGCCCTGCCTGGACCCACTCTTTTCGCCCTGCCCTCCCCCACCTTTATTCTAAGCTCAGAGGCTCAGGCGATCTCAGGCCACCGAAATTACCTTTAGACTTTTTTATTCCCTCAGTAAGGGGAGTGTCACAAAGACCACGGCCCGGAAAGCCAGCGGAGGCGTCCCAGGAGGGTCCCGGCGTTACGAGCAAATGAGGGCCTTTTGGTGCCTCTTTCCAGAAGGAAACTTCCCCCTCAGGTCAGCCCGCGGGGAACTTCCATCATCCAAGACAACAAAAGAAACTGAGAAATGCGGGCGAGAACGAGCCGTCAGATGCCTACACTACCCGATCCACTGCTTGCAGTGGGAGCGGGGCGGAAAAGGACCCCTGGACGAGTTCTCACAGCCCCCCCGGGGGGGGGGGGGCGGTCCTCTCCGTGAAGGTGGTGCCGACGCCCCGGCCCGGATGCCTCGGCGGCTTCCCAGGAATTCCCGATGGCACAGCAGCCTGGCCAGGTGCGGGGCAGACCCGCGAGCGGTGCAGACCCGGCCTCCCGGGCGATCCCCTGCCCGGGCACAGGGCATTCTGAGCAGAGTGCCCAGACCGATGCCTCCACTCGTTCCTGAGGGCGTGGGGTGGGGTGCGCGCGAAGTGGACCGAGAAACTGAGAGCGGAACCCCACGCTCCTGTGAAAGCCGCCGGCAAAACCAGCCGGTCTTTACGCGGAGGACTGCCTTCCTCCCCCTTCCCGGCTCGAGTTTTCAGAGGAATGTTATTGTTGAAAAAGCCCCCACTGAACTATTTCCTGCCCATTGTCACCTTTCCTTCGCTCGCCTGGCCGGGGTTCTCACCGAAAGGTAATAAACCGCTGCTCGCAGGCTGGGCGCGGCGAGGAGGCGCAGCGCGGGCGCACGGCGGGCCAGCCCTGCGCGCCGGGGGAGCCCTCAAGCCGCTCCTGGAGGTCCAGACCCCTGACACCCCGTCCCCTCCAGCCTCCTTCAAAACAAACACAAAACACCAGGCTCCAAGAGCACCTCTGGGCCGCCCTCAGAGCGCGGGCAGGCCTGGAACCGAGGTCTGCTCTGTGTGGGCACAGGGAAACGCCACCTACGGGAACATTAGTTTCCGTCGATTATCATTGTGAGCGCCCTGCAGACGCGCAACGGCCCAACGGGCGAAGCCGCGGGAGCTGGAAAGCCGGGAAAGGTGGTCCAAAAGCGTGGGTTTAGCGCCGAGAGGCGCGGACCAGGTCCGAACAGGATTGCGGGGAAGTGGGCCCGATTAGAGGGTTTCGCCTTCAGAACGCCAAGACTGGCCGGCCAGACCGAGGCGGGCGGTGCGCGCTCCGAGCAGGATCGGAGTGTCCCCTGGGCCCAGTGAGCGCGGAGGAGGGTTCTCTGGCTGACGGACCTGCTTAGGGCGGACTCGGGGGCGGCGGGAAGGCGCACCCCTCCACCTCGGTCCCGTCCTGCCGCTTTGATGGAGGTGCAAACATCTGGGGAGGGCGGGGGTGTAGGGGCCGGGCCGGGCGCGCGGAGCCGGGCCTATTTGCATGCCCAGGCCGCGGGGGCTCATTGTTGGCGGCCGCCGGGTCTGATGTGGCCGCGCGCGGCCAATGGGCTGCAGGCCGGCGCTTCAAAGGGCACCGACCGGCCCAGCCCCGCGCCCCCGCCGCCTGCACTATTTAGGGCCGGGGGCGCCGACTTCTCTCCGCAGAGACCTGGTTTAGGCCGCCTCGCAGGAGTTCAAGTGGAACAGCTCTCACCCCTTGTCCACCCCCCGCCGCGTCTCCGACCTCGCCCTCCCCCGGGGCCGCGCTGGCACCCGGGAGACGTAGAGTCCGCGGCCGCAGTGGCCCCTTTTCTCGGAGGAGAGGCCGCCGAGAGGGGTCAAAAGTGGCTCTCGGGTAGCGCGTCGGGGCTCCGGGGGGCGGCGGGAAGAGGCGGGCGGGAGGATGGGCTCCCCCGGCGCCGAGAGCTCGGGGAAGAGCCTGCAGTACCGAGTGGACCACCTGCTGAGCGCCGTGGAGAGCGAGCTGCAGGCGGGCAGCGAGAAGGGCGACCCCACCGAGCGCGAGCTGCGTGTGGGCCTGGAGGAGAGTGACCTGTGGCTGCGCTTCAAGGAACTCACCAACGAGATGATCGTCACCAAGAACGGCAGGTGGGTGCGCGCTGCGCCTCCCTGATCACCCGGGTCTCCGGGCGGACGCGGGGAACGCGGTCCGGGCACCTGGGAGCTCTGGAAAGGTCTTGTACTGTCCAACACTTTCTCACCTGGAGACGGGTTTTTTTTTCCTTGTGTCCGCTCGGGTGGAAGTACCTTGTGGCTGCTTCTGGAACTTTTTCCGTGGAAGGGAGCTACCCGAACCACTGGGCCCCGACCTCTGAGGCGCGGAGCGGTCAGCCTCACGCTTGCACCCGCTTGGTCTGGTCCTCCCCGCCCGGCTTCCAGGGGCCGAGGAGTTGTCTTGGGGCCGAGGAGTTGTCTTGAGGCCGCCGGAACCTCTAGGGCCTCGGAGGGCTCAGGGAAAGAGAGTTTAAGCATTGAATCCCCTTTGGAAGTCCCCGAACTAACAGAAGGCTCTGTCCCAAACTCTCCGCCCCCGGCCTCGCGGGCCTGGGGTTCTCCTGCCGCGCCCTCGCCTCCCTTCCAGGAGGATGTTCCCCGTGTTGAAGGTGAACGTGTCCGGCCTGGACCCCAACGCCATGTACTCCTTCCTCCTGGACTTCGTGGCGGCGGACAACCACCGCTGGAAGTACGTGAACGGCGAATGGGTGCCGGGGGGCAAGCCTGAGCCGCAGGCGCCCAGCTGCGTCTACATCCACCCCGACTCCCCCAACTTCGGGGCGCACTGGATGAAGGCGCCGGTGTCCTTCAGCAAAGTCAAACTCACCAACAAGCTGAACGGCGGCGGCCAGGTGGGCGTGGGGAGAGCCCGCAGCGGCTGGGCGAGGGCGCGGAGGGGCCAGGGGGCCGCACCGTCTCCTGCGCAGGGTGGGGTGGCGGGAAGGAGAGGCACTGGGCTGGAGCAGTGACATCCGCGCTTGAGAAAGTGCCGCAACCTTCCCGAATTCAGCCTGTAAGGCCGCTCACAGGAACGTCCAGGCCGAGAAAATTGGGGGAGGGATAAGCGTCTCGCTTTTGAAGGCGCACGCAGGTCTCAAAGTCGGGGTCTTGTGGTTTGGGGAATTTATGTGTGCCACCACAAAGCACGGAGAGAGTACAGCCTTGATGGCGAGCAGTCCCATCAAAGTTAACCGTGTGCGGCAGTGTTTCCTGCATGAAGTCTGAACAAACTTGGAAACAAGTCGTTTTTCAGAGAATTTCCTTTCGTTGTTTGGGATTGTTACCGGTGTCGGGTGGCGGACAGACGCAGACTTTGAAGGTGCCTAGAGCAGTTGTGGAAACCGTGGCGCTTTATTCTGCCAGGGCGAAGGGGTTGGTGACAGACATTGTAGCAGCTCTCATCCCGGTCTCTAAATAAGCCTGGGAAACAGCACTTAGGAAATGCTGGGACCCTGACCTGCGGGGAACCCATTCCCACAACAGTTATCCGAGTTCCTGCTGTCTGGAGGATGTTCGGCAGCTTGAACGTGTTTTTCTCTTGGACAGCAGGCGGCACAGAGGTTTGTTGTGGCAGTGGTGGGGCTCGACTGCCACATTTCTGTGTCTGTGTGCCCCTCAGATCATGCTCAACTCCTTGCATAAGTACGAGCCTCGGATTCACATCGTGAGAGTTGGGGGTCCCCAGCGCATGATCACCAGCCATTGCTTTCCTGAGACCCAGTTCATAGCTGTGACGGCCTATCAGAATGAGGAGGTGAGAGGAGGTTGCTTGGCCCTCTGGAGACTGCCAGCGTGGGCAGATCAGGGTGACACTTACGGGGCATTCGGGACAGATAAATGAGTAAGCAAGGTACGCACGGGCTTGATTGTGTTTACTTACTAATCTGTAGTGAACAATTTAACCTGGTTTACAGATTAGCAAGTAAACACAATTTTAAGCACGTGCAAGGTTGTGGGCTTACTATTCAACCAGGTGAAATTGTTCACTACGGATTAGTAAGCATGTTAGACTCATGTTTAATGCCTATCCGAGATAATTTAGTATAACTGAAGTGTGTGTGTGTAGGGGTTGGGGGGAGGTTAAAAGAAGACCTCATTCCATTATGGGGAATAAACACTTCTTAGATTAGTAAGTGTCTAAAACTAGAAACAGCAACTTAATGCTCAAAATAAATGCTTAAAACCTAACCATAAAACGTTTATGTTAAGTATCTGCAAATATCTTGAAAACAAGGGTGTGAGTTGAGAAAAGGGCTTTTCTTTGAAAATCTTCCCCAAGAGGACGTGCAAACCTCCAAACCCACTTAATGTGAGGACTCCGCTATATACAAAATGGTGGTGGTAGGTACCTGTAAATCTAGGTTTAAATCTAACCCCAAAGTATGAAGTTTGGATAAGCCAGTTAGTCCTCAGTGTTAACCACAAACTAGAACTAGAAGATCATTATTACCTGGCTTATGTTTTAGTCATTTTTAATGTATGCACATAGAATATTCTGTGAGTAGTTGGCTAAATCTATAGTGAATCCCATTTAGGAAACTGGCATTTTAAAACATTTTAAAACGTGTACATTTTCCTTATGAAGTAATTACAATGACTCAACCACTTCAGACCCAACCAGAAAGAGCTGGAAAGAAGTCTGACTGTGTGTCAGTATTTCAAGGGGCTACTGAGGTGTCTCAGTATTTGGTGCTGTTTTAAATCCTCTGGCTATTGAGTTTAATACACCAGTAAATGCAATTTCTTGTTTTTCAGATCACAGCTCTTAAAATTAAATACAATCCATTTGCAAAAGCTTTCCTTGATGCAAAGGAAAGGTGAGAAAATTCTAACTACCCTCTGGACAAAGAAATATGCAGAAAGATGAAACGTTGCTGCAAATACTGTCTTCCGACTTTCTTCTTCTTGACAATTCAATGCGCTTTCTTTGACAGAAGCGATCACAAAGATGTGCTGGAAGAACCCGGAGACAGCCAGCAGCCTGGGTATTCTCAATGTACGGTTTGTTTCTCTGCACTGAAGTGCCCTGTTTCAGTATGAGCTTGTTGAGAGCTAGAAGCTGCAGACAGAGAAGACAGGAAACTCTTGGGTGCGGTTGGGGAGAGGAATTGGCCTTTGCTGGTGCAGGGCACTTGGCACTGTGGCGTGGAAGTTGTGCTGATCTCAGCCCTCGCTCTGATCAGGCTGTGAATGCCCACCCAGGCCACAGGGAGAATGGACCCGGGCTCTTGCTGTGCTCAGAGGCAGCTCCCACCATGGCTAGGATGGACCCTTGAGATTTTGGTGGGTGTTGAGACTACCCAGTATTGGGCAAGAAAGAGAAGCTAGCTCATGATATCCTCTTTGGGATGCTTTCTATTTTTGTTAGTGATTGAGAACTGAAGGGCCATCTTGGGGTAATGTTTATGAACAAATGCGGTTCTTGGGAAAGCCCATCAACTCAGGTTGGTTATGGTCGAGAACAGCGGCTCCTAGGATGGGGAGAAGCCGGCTTAAAGTCTAGCTTCTCATGGAAGTCTCACAAGACTAGCAAAGCAAGGCAGGTCTACATAGCACTCAAGACTGGCAGAAAGTGCTTTGTCCAGCTTCTCTCCACCCGAGAAAGGTCTTTGAGATTTAAAATAATAGAGATAGAAAAGTTAGTGTTGACTGAATCAATACAAGGGTCTGGGCGAGCCAGCATGGCGTATTCCGCCTTAAACAATCTTTCTCTGTTCTCAATACACAGTAAAACCTGTGAGAACCAGAACTGGACAGGACTGCCTTGTTTTTCCGGGTCTTACAAGTTTTCTGCCTTTGACAGGGTGCTGTCTTACCACTTCTCTGTTGCTCCCTATTAGTGGAAAATATTTGAGTTTTCCTTCTCTGATAGGTTTCTGCCTTACATAGCTTCTGGTGTTCGCAGGTTTTACTGTATTTCTAGGCTAATTTAACAAACAGCTCTGCCACAGTGGCTTCAGGCTCAGTCACTTCAGGTAGGATACACACACTGCAGGCCAGTGACGGGCCCCGTGTATCACGGGTGCCTCCTACCCTTCTGTTGTCGGAAGACTTGTCATTTGGAAATTGGAGCCAGAGTAGTTGCTTTTCTGAACTGGGGTGGTGGCGGAGGAATGTCGTTGAAGAGGACAGGACAGGACCATCTCAGGAGGGACTTGAAGCACATGGTGGGAGAATAACATGAGCCTACAATTTACAGAAGAAAGGTCAGCAGGAAGTGGGGCCCACAAAGCCAGGCCCCAGCGCCCTGAGTCTACCTGTGAGGTGGAAGGAGATGAAGGGCGAGGAGGAGACAGGGAACGACTCGGAGCTAGCCCTGACCCAAGGCTCGCTCTGCCTTGTTTTTGATTTTTTGGTCTCGTCTTACGTTTTATTTTCATGCTCACTGGCTGGGACGTGAAGGCTGACCTGCCTTGGGAACAGTAAGTCATCTAAGTATTCAGAATATTCCAGGAAAACAGCTTGGGAGTCCTTGGGTAGTGTTTGGCTGCTAGCCAAAAGGTTGGAGGTTCAAGTCCACCCAGAAGTGCCACAGAAGATAGGCCTGGCGATTTGCTCCTGAAGGGTCACAGCCAAGAAAACCCTATGGAGCAGTTCTGCTCTGCGCATATGGGGTTGCCGTGTTGACGGCAACTGGTTTTTTCTTTTTCCAAAATCACTCACTCTTTAAAATTTATTTTTCCTAGCCTTATTCAAAATTTCTTCTTACACATTTTTGGTTGCTTTTCCAGCTAAATGATTTTATTAAAAACCTGTTGCTGTCCAGTCGATTCTGACTCATAGCGACCCTATAGGACAGAGTAGAACTGCCCCATGGAGTTTCCAAGGAGCACCTGGTGGATTCGAACTGCCGACCTTTTGGTTAGCCGATGTAGCACAGGGTTTCCAAATTATTTTATTAGCCATGGATAATTTTTAAAAATATTTTATTGTGTTTTTGGTGAAAGTTTACACAGGAAATTAGGTTCTCATTTAACAACGTCCATACATATTGTTCAGTGGCATTGGTTACGTTCTTCACAATATATCAGAATTCTTGTTATTTCCATTTTGGTCGTTCTATTTCCATTAATCTAGCTTCCCTGTCCCCGCTTGACGCAACTAGACTTTAAGGAAGTAGGTTGGGTGTGGGGTGTCCCAGGGCTTCTCGGGTGGGCTGCACGTTTGGACGTACCGGCCAGCCTGAGGCATCTATGTGAGCGGGTGCATGTCTGCCGGCCCTGGCCCGTAATGGCGCAGG